ATAAACACATTTATAGGACTCCGTGAGTAACGGTGTGGGTCCCAGCGCTGCCAAAGCCTGGAAGTAGTTTGTGTCTCAGCTAAATTCAATTCTAAGAGTGAAAGAAGTTGAATACCTAGTCTTCCAACAGAGGGGAAAGTTTGATAAAAAGCATTCCAATTAAGAGAAATGACTTAATGGAGGAAAAGGGATCTGCAGCCCTGAGTTAAGCCAACCAAGTCTAACCAAGTGTAGTAATCAAAGCTTCTTATATAATCCAGCTTCCTACCTATCGAGCACAAAAGGGCTTCTCTATATGCCGGCTGACTAGTTCCAACTTTTTGCCCTTAAGCACTGCGAGAACAAGGCTTTCTGGCCATGGAGACAAACTCCACCCCTTCAAAGGGACTGGTATGAATCTTAACTATTGCTGCCTCCCTCATTTTTGAAGAAAAGAGTTTTCAGAATACAATAATGATGTATTACCAGGGCTTTCAGGACTAGTGAACACTAGTGAACATTCGTCTGAGAAAATCGTTCTTGAGAATTTAACGGTTTAAGCTAACGGAAATTCAGTATATTTAAATACAACTATAGTTAATGAATCGTCGTTTGGATCCAAGCCTTCGAAGCTGGGGCAAAGCGGCACTTTTGCACATCGTCGCAATAAGCCTGAGCGTGAATTAAGCTGAGAAGAGATCGAAACAGGAATCTGAGAAGAGTGAAAAGAAAGAACAGATGAAGAATCAGAGCAAGGTGAGGGAAGACAAGCAGGGGAAAGACCGGTCTCGGAATGGTGGGTGGGTACACCACGAAGAGGAACGTACCCTATCCGTAAAGTCTGCTCAAGCGAAGTCGACATCAAGATGTCTTAATGCAACTCAACACTTGGTTAATGAGAAATCTTACGAATACGAGCCCAAAAGCATTTTTTCTACTAAAGCATCATTATCAAGTATCGGTCCTTTGAATTTCAAATAGGTTTTAAAAACTCCTGTATCACAATAGTTAACATCAAACCAGGGTTTAAAGGCTGGATCTTGTTACTGGTATCCTAATCTACATGGGGAAAGGTTTAAACTAGCCGATAGCCAAGATGCTTCAAGTTCTAGAATTCACTGAATAGAATTCTATGCCTGCACGTTTTAAGCTCATGTTTGTCCTTTGCCTAACCTGTTAAGTTTGTATCACCCAGGTATTTTTCAGCACCTCATTTAATAGTTTTGGGGTTTTGTTTGTTTTTTTTACTTCTTCGGAAAACTCTGTCCTAAAAAGTCTCTGTGGTCACATAACATAACAGGAATGGTCTACACGTATCTCTCAACCCAAAACAGGGGAATGGCAGTGAGGCGGTCACTACTCCATACCCATGTGGTCCCTTCTAGCCATCACACTGCAGATGAAAACGACACAGCAGAGTAAAAACCGTAAGGAGAGTAAGGAAGCCAAATACTGCCAAGTGGGAACACTGACGGGCCTAACCTTTTAACAGCTAATGATATAGCCAGTCTGGAGGATGGTAAAGAATGAGAACAACCCATAGGCTGCACTAAATGATATTTGAGGAGGAAGGGGAAGATCCATGCACCCTGTAAGTACAGGGAAGAAAAAGCAATGGACTGAAAAATGGAGACACTGAGATGAGACTTTTCAGTACCTCCACTCCCAAGCAGCCTCGGGTTAAAGAACTGAATGACAACCTCCCAATCAATTCTTAAAATGTGAAGTTTCCCATGTGATAGGTCTCTGCTAATTACCTGACATGCTAAGAACTACAGCCCTGGCCAGCCTCTTTGTGCAAAAAGACAATGGGTCCTCTGAGCCAAGTGAAGAGGAAGCCTTGCGAGAGGAGATCTGCAGAATATAGGTCACAGGACACAGGACTGCCACTACTGCTTGCTGCTTCCCTAACCTAAAGAGAAGAGTGATAACCTCACCAGGAAAAGAATGGCCCTGGAAAAAGATTGGCCCAGCTATTTCAAAACCCACTTACTACCTTGGGGCAAAAGAACATAATATTTTTGGACCCAATAATTGTTCTGCATGCCAGAGTACTAAGCTCTGCTCATCGAATCTCAAGACTGAGATTGCTTGAAAGGACAAAACTCTAAGGACTGGGGATACTAATCAGAGAGTATTTTTCTCTACCTTTGAAGACCAATGTCCTCACTTCATTTTGGCTCTTAGGTAACTATTTTAGTCAATTTCATGCTTATTCAATTCTGAACCTTAGCTTGAGCCAGTATAAAAATATATACATATTAATGTCTACAGATGAAATGACATCATTTAGGACCCATTTAGTGTAAAGTATGAACATTTTGCTAGCTTTACACAGACCAGGTATCACTCCATGAACAATCATTCTAATGAAACAAACTGAACAGTGGTCCCTGAATGAAGCTGCAACCAGCAATTCACAAACTTATTCAAGCACATTATCTACTACTGGAGAGCAATAATAAGGGCAAGCTTCAGGGACTTCAGTCTCAACAGAGTGATGTTTATACTGCCAAGAATAAACATCCTAATGGATATGCTAATAGTCATTCCTTATTTACAGACATTAGTACTCTAAACTTGACCTACTGCTATATATACACAAACAGACACAAGATGATGTATTTCATGTATCGTACTAAGACAGCAGCAAAGAGAAGGTTGGGGGGGGGAACCTAATACTTCAAACTCTTAGGGCTCAACATTAAATAAAGGGGGGGGGGACTCACATAAACACCACCTATTAATTTATGCTATAAGAAGCGGTAAGAAGGCTGCCCAGCCAGTGTGTCAATCCTCTTTGCTGAGTTACACAGCAATATGTTCAAAGTCAAAGAAAATTTTAATTCCTACGACTTAATACCAATTTGAAAAATCTAAGGTCCTATTATTTTCCCAAATACCAAACTGTTGTCTCAAAGGAAAAAATAGTTCCTCTGAGAAGAGGACAAACCATGAGTCCAGCTCTGGATACATGGTTTTTCTGTTCTTCCCAATAGACTTTTTGTAACCTTGGACATGTCAGAGCCACAGCCTCCTCCATACAAGAAAAGGATGGTCCCTATTTATTTGGCCCCCAGCTTATAAACTGTAAGAATGAAATTGAGGAAAGAAAACTCTACAAGGCACTCTAAGCTCTCAGAAATCATGCTATTCATACATGAATTATTTTTTCGTCTACAGACTCAGTCCATCAGAAAGCCTCCTGGAGACGGGAAGACATTATGCTACCTGATAAATTTCTAAAATCAATTTTGGACTAATCAAGTCCATCATAATGAAACTCGTTTATAGAATACAAAAAATTTAAAGTCATTAGGACTGAGTTTTGATTCAAAATCTACAAAAGTATCTAAAAAAGTAATACTTTTCTCTAAAGAATACAAGCTTAATAAAATCATGCGATTTAAAAAGTATCAGATTACAGGAAAGTCAAAGAAAGTAGATACACAATTGGTTTCCTTCATAGGTCATGGAGGAAAAAGGACCATGTTGAGGGCACAGACACAGAATTTCGTAATCTGTAGAGCTTTTCTCTAACATCTTTTGTATCCTGTCCTCAAAGAAGGGGAATCAGCCTGTGAAAAAGATTCCCGTCCATGAAGGCTGCAAGGGAGTGCCATGCCATGTGAAGACAGAGGGTCCTATAAGTACACAGGTCCTCCACAAGACATACTACTAAATCCAGAAGTTCTTATTCATGACACCTCTTTAACATGCTATCCACGCTACAGAAAGACTACACTGACAATCTACCAATGGCAAAGCATGCACTCAGTTTTCTGTTACTGATGCCGAGTTTGCACTGGAACCTCCTCATGCTCTAAGTCAAGGTAACTTTTTAAAAATGTTGAGGCTGTGTACAGATGGCAAGTCTTTAAAAAAAAAAAAAAAGAAAAGAAAAAAAAAGTAAATAAGGAAAAAAAAACTTATCAAGGATACAATATGATCTCAGAATTATATTTTCCCTCCAAAAGCTCAGCTTCACTATATCATGATCCAATCAAGCAGGGCAACCCAGCACAAACACAGTGACAGTTTTCTTCAAATTTCTGGACATATCTTCCAACTGAATCCACTTGGAAAAGTGTGTGGCTAAGAAAAAATGTTACCAAATGACAAGAACAAAGAACAAAGCTAGAGAATTAGTGGAGTATGAATAGTCAGTCGCCTGTCGAGCGTAAGTTGCTCAAACACTGCTTGAGGACTGCTAATTCCCAAACTATATAAACATCTTTAACTTGGTCCATAAATTTGGGGATCATCAGCAATGTTTACTTCATTTTCTCCCCTAATCATCTGACAATACAATCATGACATATCTTTTTATCGAGACAGAGTTGGTGGTCATTTGAGTATGGTTCACTTAAACTTCAGTGGAAGTAGAAAAATAAAAAATAAATTAAAAAAAAAAAAAACAAAAACAGGAACTAGAACAAACTTTTTACCAACATTCCACACGCTGGTGGTACAAGAACGGCTACAGGCAAACATTCTTCCTCCTTTCTTCTGGCAATCAAAATCCACAGGCTCCTGCTAGCAAAATGAACCTGGCAAACAAACTAACCTGTCCTGATACAAGGACCCCCCACAAGCACATCAGTTAGGTTTTCAGTACACAACTGATTACACAATGTCCACGAATTAGTTTTAAATGGTAGTAGGGATTACAGAGACAGAGAAAAAACTCTGAAATGAGCAAGTCTTCTACTTCAGGATAAGAAGGCCTACCAAGATTTGGCAGTGCAGAAAGTATACCTTATTCATAATAACCTTAGCATCTATTCTGCTCTACGTGTTCTAGGAGAATAATTGGTCTCTCCTTACTTTGGTATGGAAAATTTTAAACCACATTTGCACAATTCAGTCTGTCAAACAAGTTTCACTTCATTTAGGTTGAAAATTTACTTTCATCCATCTCTGGGAAAATAAAGTCTTGCAAATAGATGATTTTCTGCTAAGTAAAATTTGGCTAAAACCTATAGCGTAAACAATGCCTGAGAGATGCAACAGTTACATAAGTTTTGTTTTTGTTTTTTTCCAAAGACCAGTATTTTCTTAAGTTAGTGTCTCATCATATCCTTAAAAAGTTCATAAGGAGAAATAAACAAACATGAAAATTCCAAGTGAACACACAGCAAAAAGTCCGATATTTAGTATTAGTTTAACTTGTGGAGGCTCTTCCAACATTTGTAAACAAACAGCCTCCTCCTCCATCAGGTCTCTGAGACTCCTCTTGCTGAGGCTCTTACTTTTAAAGCCACAGAACCAATCTATGAACTTCCAGTACCGGCCTCCATCCTCTGTTTCCTTCTTTCTCTCTTTGTCACCCATAAGAGCTGCTTGCCCATTGGAATAAGCATCTACTGGTGTTTCTGCCTCTGAATGTCCTAACGAAGCCACTGGATTGCCCTCTTCTCTGCAGGTCACCAAGAGATTAACATCTTCCGGCTGAAGGCCCTTGATGCTATCTTCGGATTTCCCATTGGGAATGATGTGGTTGACGGCCTCACTGTTCTCCCTGCACCTCAGAATGCTCTTCTCTTGCATTTTGTATGGCTCATCTTTTGGGGAGCAGCTTTCCTTCACCACCAAGCTCTTCTTAGACCAAAAGGTGGTGGTACGAATCTGTTCCTTTGTGGGAGGTGGTGTGAGGAGGCTAACAATGACAGTAATGAGTCCCGTGACCCAAAACAGTGCTGTGGCCACGTACATGTAATGGATGTCTTTGATGAAGCCTGGCCTGTTATCAGGTTGGTCACATTCTGGCGCACGGTACGCAAAGGCCAGTGTCAAACGGACTGCTCCAAGAACAAAGCCAGCCATTCCACCATAGAAAGCCCCTTGCTCATTGCAGCGCTTCCAGAAAATTGCCAGAAGGAACAGGGCCGCAACTGGGGGTGTCAGGTAGTCTGCTACCTCCTGAATGTAAAGGTACATCTGGCCTCCTTGCATCTCCACGATGATTGGCACCCACGCGATGCTGATCACCACCATAAAAGCCACAAATATCCTCCCCACAATCATGAGTTCCCGGGAGCTTGCACTCCTGCGGATGAGTTTGTACACATCGAGGGTGAATATGGTACTGGCACTGTTAAAGATAGAGTCCAAGTCGCTCATCAGAGCTGCAATCATCACTGCCATCATTAAGCCACGGAGTCCCACGGGAACCAGCTTCATCACCAGGCGTGGGTAAGCAATGTTAGAGCACCCAGCTCTACTTCCACACACTTGCATGCAGTGCTCTGGGTTGATGCAAGCTATATCATCAGCAAACAGTATTCTGGATATCATTCCTGGGACAACTATGATAAACATTGGCAGAAGCTTCAAGAAGCCAGCCATCAGAGTAGAGCCTTTGGCATGAGCAATGTTTTTAGCTGCTAAGACTCTCTGCACGATGACTTGGTCAGCACACCAGTACCATACTGAAGCTGGGGTCTGCCCAAGAACGAATCCAGGCCAAGGAACATCTTCATCTGTCGGATTCCGTAACATTTTCAGTGCATCTTTCTTAGGATGGACATTACAAGAATTTGTGTTGGAAAGGTTGTATGTCAACAAGATGGAAGTAACATTGGGTGAGGCCAACATGTACCTTCTCTTAACTTCCTCAAACCCGCCAATCTCCATCATGCTAATAATCATAAGCGTGAGTGCCCCAACGATCATAAGCAGAGCCTGTAGCGTGTCTGTGTAGATCACTGCAACAAGGCCTCCAGTGACAGTCAGCAAAGCAGTCATGCCAATGAGCAGGATGACAGACACATAGAGGTTCCAACCCAAAGACTCCTGGATAAAGAGGGCACCCGAATACAGATCCACTGAGAGCTTGGTGAAGATATAGAGAATCAGAGACAAGGCTGCAAAATAGACCTGAATCCTATGGCCACCAAATCGCTTGGACAAGTATTCAGGCATGGTGTATACCCCTGACCGGATGTAAATCGGGATGAAAACCCATCCCAGAAGTTGCAAAAGCAGTAAGGCATTGAACTCCCATGCGCCCACTGCAAATCCACTTGCAGCTCCAGATCCTGCCAGCCCAATGAAGTGCTCACTCCCAATATTGCTCACAAACAGAGAGGCACCAATCGCTACCCAGGTCATAGAGCGCCCCGCCAGGAAGTATCCACTCACGGTGCTTCTATTAGATTTCCACATGGCAAAAAAACCAATGCACATGACCAGGATAAAATACAGGGCCACTATGGCAATGTCTGCTGTCTCCAGTACAGCCCTCATTTTGGTAACTTTGTGAATAAAAGTGTCCAATAACAGAAGTGTCCAACTTTTTATTTACTCATTAGTAACCCCAGCCAAGTCTGTAAACCATACGTGAACTGGACTACACAGAGCAACACAGCAGGTCAAAGTCTTTGTCCTTTGGTTTGCTGTCTTGATGGTGGTGGTTGTGATAAACTTTGAAGGAGACAGTTTAAATTTTCCTCCGCTTCTTAATTGGGATTGAGAACTTAGCTCGTACTCTTAATCCACTCTCCACAAGACCATCAGCATTTACTCAGGTGCTGGAGGAGAAATTCTGAGTTGCAGCTAAGTTAGTGAAGCCTACTGTACCAACCCTGCAAGGCAGCAAAGACAAAAGACAAAGATTGAATTAGAGGAGGATCTCACCAAGTGTTGAGGAAACTTTCAGTCTAGCAAAAAACGGCGCAATAAGACATTCTTTATAAAAAGAAAAAAAATTTTAATATACTTCAGTTCCACAGGAAAGAGCAATCTAAACTAGCACATTGAGTACTTAAAGTCATGAGAATACTTATCATTTTGAACTAAGAACAAAAATGCATTGACCTCGTAACTAAGTGACCTATCTTCTCTAGCAACTAAGAACTGTCTACCATGACACTGCCCTTTCTTTCTTGCTGTGGTCGGCGGCTCAGATTGGAACAGACACCAAGATCTTAAAGCATCTTAAGGGAAAAGGGTGGGGGAAAAAAACACTAATTATTCAAAAGGGTACCATAATGAATATTCAAATGCTATGAATCTGAATAATGCACTTTATAGCCGGTTGTGGTCCTGGATGGAATCGGCTCAGTTCAGTGTTATCGCCTACCCCCAAACACAAAATCAAGTATCACTTAGTCTATGCAAATTTATTAATATAAAATTTTTCTAAATTCCGATTACAAATGAGTATGTGGTAGTTATCATACAGTAACACAGAAATTGTGAGAGGACTCCTGCCCTAAAGGAAAACAAAACATGCCACAGATAAAAAAACAAAAACAAAAAACTAGGAACATACAATTTATAAAACCCTAAAATTTTTTATTTCTTCTAGCTAGAGGAAGACCTCAGAAGATTTCTGAAAAATGTTCAAAGAGGTAATTTCCTTCCCTTCCTTTTCATCAGGCAATAATTCCAAGAGGATCTCTGAGAGGATAAAGGCACAATGACACTAAGTTTGATTTTGTTGCATAGTTTTTCCTTTTAGTCATGCTTTCTTATTAAAGGGTATAGAAAGCAATGAGGAGGAGGAGGACAAAATTTCTGAAAGACCGAAAAATAATGTATTATATCTTCCAAACCTCAATGAAACAAACATTTATCAACCATTAGATAACAAGTTATCTTTAATTAAGTCAGTCAGACATTTTTCAGTCCTGGATTAAGGGGGAAAAAAAAATCACCCTGCAAAACAGACATTTAAATCCATTTAAAATCAAGTTTGTGAATCTGATGGTTTTTCTCCTGAAAAAGAGACAAGTTCTAAATCTACAAAGTTAATTATAATTGTTGCTGACAGATCAATATGAAGAACATTTTGTTATTCATCCTAATGCCTGCCACACATCGACTTTGAATGTGAGTTTTACTTCTGTGATAAAGCTACCTCAAAGTGAAATGTTTTTCTATACCTGACAAAGTAGATGCTTTTCAATGAATCTACATATTTTCCTTTAAAAATCGGTACCAAGCTTAAGACCTATAAATGATACTAAAGCAGCCACTGCTTTCCACAACTGTTCAAAATAGACCACAGTATTAAAAAAAACTTAAACACACACCTCTCACTGACCAGGAAAGGAGGTGGAAACAATGGCTAAAGATAAACGTTCTACTGAATTAGGTTATTAGGTCTAATTCGTAATGCTGCCTAGACAGAAATGCCTTAAACCCATCTTTATGCCTTTTTTAAGCATACAGCACTATAATAATTATACTAAGAAAAAGGATTACTATCCTTCCTCCTGAGAGCCTGTGTCAATAATGACCGACATGAATAAAACTCCCACACATAAAAGCATCAAATATACTAACAGCTGGGATTTGTATCACTTCAGACTTGCCAAATCTTGAAAGCTGGTCATACTTCTGTGACCACTTTCCTCATGCCAAAAACTTTCTAAAGAAACACATGGACATTATCTAGAGGGATCATCTCAATTTTTAATAAAATGTTATCAGATGACTAATAAACATTAACTATTTAAACGTGCCTTTAATGGTTCAGTGTAAGTGGTAGGTCCTTGATTAGAAAGAAAACAGCGGATGGCAGTCGTGAAATCCTGCCTGGGACAAAGCTCCCTGAAATTCATCGTCGAAGCGACCTGTTCCAACTCACACAGAAAAGCCCAACTCCCCAACAGGAGAGCCCTTTCAGGTGCTGCTTTTCTCCGAGGCAGCAGCTCACCGACCCTGTCTGTGCTTCCCTCAAGAAGGGACAGCAAAACCCTCTGTGTTTCTCCTGGAAGGGGAGGAGAGGAAGGGGCCCACTGCAGCAGCCCCCACCGGTGGCTTGTGTGTTCAGAGAACCAAGTGCTTAGAAACAGAATAAGCACCTTCTTCCTCAACCACTGGTAAGCACTGCTAACATCAGGAACATCGTTCTTGTCAAATACGATCTATGCAAGTCAAATCTCTTAGCCATATTCTGTCCCGTCACAAATCAAATCCAGACTGGTCTAACCCCTAACTTCTCTAGAACAGCCGGTAAGATAGAAAAAGACATTGTGCCCTCACTCCCTGGGCTAGCAGGGGGTGGCCAAACGCAAGCTCAAGGCTGACTTTTCTCAATTCTGTCTGCCTATGCTTCCTCTGACCATTCGGAAGCCACTGCTGGCAGTCCCCATCTTACTGGATACCATACCAGTTTGTGGGCAGGTTTAAGATTTTCCAATTTAAACAAAAAACATCCAGAGACCAGCACCTGGTAAAGACTGGAAAAAGAAAAACAAAACCAAAAATAGGTCAATTTAGTTTAGAGAAAGAGATATATTACAATGCAGCTAAATTTCACATTCTAGTCATAAACAGATTGTCACAGCCTTGAACTTTACTTTGTTAGGAAATAACGTATGCATTCCTTAAAAATGGTTCCAAATAAAATATACAATGTGAGTTCTGCATATTTTTTTCTTTCCTTTAAATAAGTACTTCTAGAACAAAAATACAATGAACACTAACCAGAATTCCTTTATTTTCAGGAAAAACATAACATGGAAAAATTTTTTCATCAGCTAAAACGAAACTTTTTAATTTATGTTTTTACATTACTAGGATTAAGCTGCTACACAAGCCAGGTAAATCCTGTTAAGGGAGAAATATGAGACAAGTAATAAAATAGGTACAGGAATGATAAAATATATGGGTTGGTTCCTTGGTAGTACATTTTTAAGAAAACAAGTATTTCCATAATAGTATTATTTGTGGAATATACAAAGTGGTCCCCTAGTGGTGATGGGCAGTATAATAAATTTTTGCAAATCAAAAAACACAAGGGCATTCACTGTGAAACAGAGAAGAAGCCCCCTCCCCCCAAAAGGAGAGCGCTTTCTTCTCAGAGAGTGTTCTCTTGACAGTTTTGCACAAAATTAGAATACAATTTTGGTACTATTTCATGTACCTGGATGAATTAAATTACAACTGAAGAATTAATCTGAATAGAAAAGTATTCCTAAGAATTTGCTGTGTTTGAACTAGAAAGAGGGAAATAGGTAACACCAAATTAAATCAGCTATTAACCCCCCTTTAGGTAATATAATCAAAATATAATTAGTTATAATAACCAAATCCAACATCTCTTTTCTATTATCTAGGGTGACCATATAATTTATCTTCCAAACTAGGAAATTATTCTGGGACAATCTGTAAAATCCAGGACATATATGGTCACTCCAGAAAGTCACCATCATAAAAACCCAACCGAGAACAAGAAAAACAATTCCTAAAGCCATCAGTCCTCCAAGTCACAACAAATTCAGTGAGGCAAGAAGACTAACAAAAAGCAGAAAAGTGACATGAAAAGTAACCAAACGACAAGCTTTTTGGCTTTGGAGTCACTTTAAAAACCTCATACTCTGTGGACAATCTGAACGGTAGGCTTGCCAGGTCTTGCTTCTATTCTGATCCAGTGAAAAATGCTCATGTACCAGCTAGTAATAATTTAAGAATCATGAAACATGCAGACACCTGCGAAAACGTGTATGTATGGGTGGCATGATCAAGAAAGCAGACAAGCTTTGAAGGGCTAGAACCCAAGCTGTTACTTCCTAAATGCAGGATCTAAGCAAGTAATAATCTATGAGCCTCAACTGTCTCATCTGTGAAATGAAATCATCATCTGGCTACTACTGGCTTAGTAAGGAACAGATGACATACAGAAAACACCTAAGACTGTCCAGTGCAGTGAGCAGTGCAACTCAGCGAATGCTGCTTTACCTTCTACAACTTGTACGGACTGAAAGTTATAACACCATCTCCTTTACAATTAATTTGTCAACTATATGCCAGACATATTAGGTTCCTTACCAAAGTCATTTATAGATAAAATATTAAATATTCAGTTCCCTCACAAATACTTTAAAGAGGCTCTCAACCACCTCAGGAACAATTAGCTCTTACTGATGTCACTTCGAGTAAAATTAAAAAAAAAAAAAAAACCTAAATTTATACAAAATTCTACTTATGGACTTTTCATACACATTTTCACTTTTGTCATCTTGATTCAAGGTTCTGTAAAGCAAATTCCACTAGCAGAGTAGATTGATGGTGCATGGTACAGAGTACACATGTATATATACATATAAGACCTTCCTCAACCCACTGTTACTCTAAAAATGTAAAAATGGATATTGGTAGCAGTTTATCAGTGACACTTAAAAGTGAAATGAGGGTTTCTAATACAACTCATATGAATTTCAGCCACTTTTAAATTATAAGTGGAGCTAAAGTAACACTGTATACAACAGTCCCTGAAACATGTAAGGAGTTTGCCCTTAATCCTTTTTGGCTAAACATTTCTATTAAACCTACGACCTCAGCTATTCAAATTTCTGGAAGTATGTAAGCGATGCATGAAACCCTGGTTGAACTCAGATGGCATTTAAACCATATTCCGGGGGTTTCTAGCCCCCGTGTATTTTCACAAGGGTGGGAAGCAAGGCAGAGTGGGCTTGGATTTGAGCCTCCCTCCAGCAACCCTCTACCAACCAGATCAGCTCTACTTTTAGCAAAGTATTGAGGAGAGAAGGAGTTTAGGAGGATGGTTTTCCATGTAAGTAAACCATGTCTTCAAATAAAATTTTATTCACCTAGGAAAAATCATAAACTACCA